TGTGAAATTTTAGACATATGTTACAGCAATTTGTTCATTTTTTTTTATTTTTTTTGTTTGTGTGTGTGGTTAAAACCTACGCCTAGGAGGCAAATTTACATATGAATATCTTTTTCTAATCTGTGTATCTTTGTTTTAATATTATTTTTGGGGATGAAGATTTCATACTAAAGTTATAGAGTAATTTTCTCCTAAAATAAAGGCATGTTAACAATGATTAAGACTATTTGATAGTTGAATAAATTTGGACTATTAATATATAAAGAGGACAAGTGTCACAAATCTAAATAGGAACTTGGAGAAATTGAGAGGAGTTAAATCCCCTTTAAGCGTTGAGAAAGAATACCTCTTTCACAAATTGAATAGGAATAATCGTCCCCTTTGACCTAAAACTAATGGCTAAAACAAAGAACTGCTTCCGGAACATGGGAAAAGCCAAATAACTCTTTTTGGAATCTGAGTACGACGGGAATAATGGTACGATTTTCTTTCACTCTCTGTTAACAACGGTCTAAAATCTATCAAACACTTGATCGTCGATTGTGCTTTATATGGATCTAGCTTCTTTGTCTGTAAGTATTTTTGCAAAACCTCAAAATGACTGCACATCTCTGATAATTAGGATTATGTAGTAGTTTTTCAAATCGATATAATTTATCTTTGTGTTTAGTTCCTGACGCGAAATTTTTTCTGATTTTACCTGCAAACTTCATTTAACTCATATTTATATAAGGGGACGTGTTTGAACCATATAAATCTTAGTTCTTTTTATCTCGATATACTAAAATGCTCATCCTACTTCAACTTTGGTCTGGACTAGTTTGAATTGATGGTCTGCACTTGTTTGAATTGTTTTACATATAGAATTAAAGATTGTAGTAACTTTTATGAATATTTCATTGACAAATTGATTACTCCATGTAAGGGCAGACATAAACATACTAAACCATTTTTATGTCTGCCTGGCACGCACATGAACTTGGAATGCTTTGACGAAGTTAACTTGTCGTCCATAGGCATCTTTTTCTTGAGCAATTATAAACACGTGATTTATGCATTATTTGTTGAAGAACCTTTAAGATAGATGGAAAAAATGTTTTTTTCTTGTATTAAATTTATCTAACTTATTCTTTTACAAGTAAGTTGTAAAATAGAAAGAGAACCCCCCCCCCCCCCTCCCCCTCTCTAAGAATATCTATATGGACACAATCACGACCCCGCCAATTACACCACCGGAACCACCGGACAAAAATAACCAAATGGATGTGGAAGAAACAACAACATATTCCTACAAGAAAATGTTACTCGACAAGCAGACAGTAAGCCAAACATAGTATTACGATGAGGATGCCAAACATAGTAACATAGTATTACGATGAGGATCCCCCCCTACCCCCCCCCCCCCCCATAATTAAAGATGATAAAGGAAAAAGTATTGAAGGCTTAATTTCCCTCTCACAAGAAGACAAGAAACACCTATACCAACCATGACGCTTCTCAGTAATCATAAAGATCTTTGATCGTAGAATGCCTCACTATTACCTTCGATCTAAACTGATTTACCTATAGATACCATCCGCATATTTAATTTTGATTGACTTAGGATGTGACTTCTTCATTGTCAAATTTGGTCTAGAGAAAATTTGGCTAAGGCACTATACCTAGGGCCATGGTTCGTCTCTGGGAATTTCTTATTAGTGCGTAAATAGGAACCAAAATTCGTCCCACAAGAAGCTACACTATCTTCCACAGCCATCTAGATTCGCCTACCCCAACTACCAACATAATTCTATGATAAAGAAATACTGGAAAAAGTTGGTAGAAAACTTGGTAAACTACTTAAAATTGACTCATGCATATCTTCCACATTGAGAGGAAGGTATGCACGCATCTGTATCCAAGTTCCGCTTGAAACCCCAGTAGAAACATCAGTAATCAAAGGTGATCACAAACAAGCAGTGATCTATGAAGGTAAAGGTATTTTATGTACTATGTACGGAAGAATTGGCCACACAACAACAAAATTACAAATTCAAAAATTTTCAACCATCACCATCACAAGAAGCCCCTGAAAATTCGAAAATACACAACAAAGAGGGTGAGGACGATGAATGGAAGACAGTCACTTTCCCTAGATGAAAGAAACCAAGCCAACAACCTATGAAGGAAAGGAAGAACGAAAAAGAAGATGATCAATATCATGCACACAAAAACACAAAAGATCCTGGTAAAGATGTTCAATGCAAATTCGGGTAAGTTTCTGAATACCAAAACTTTTCAATATAATTCAAAATCGAGTAATATGCAGTCTAAAAATTACAACATGCCCATTTGCCCTCTGAATAAACAAACTCCCACCCCCACCCCCAGCAACCCAACATATGAGACCCCAGCCCAAGCACAGCGCCAAACGTAAGTAGGGAACGGGGCCTGATGGAGCTGATATCAAAAAATCAGCTACAGATTCCTCTAGAACAAAATGGATAGGTTCCTCTAGACATAGCTACAGATTCGGCTGAAGTAATAAAAATGCTAATCACAGGCAATATAACTTATGATCCTATGATTTGTGAATGCAGGTTATTGATGCAAATGATGGACAGGGTGGTGGTGAGACGCAGCTACAGGGAGCAGAATAGAGTGGTTGACGCACTGGCATAGGAGGCAGCAAATTCAAATTTTTTGGGTAGAACTACCATGCTAGCAGTTCTTCCGATATTTGCAAATGATGTATTTTGGGCAGACATCCTAGGAACTGAAGTAGTTAGGAATTTTTTGGCATGTAATATTGATACAATTAAACAAAATATAGTTGTTTTAGGGGAACTGTAGTAACCCCAGTTAGACAGTAATCTGCTATATATATAAGTGGAGGGGGGATTACTATTTCCCTTTGACCAAAAAAAATTATCTAACTCACCGGAAAACATAGTTCAAGGGGTTATTGTTCTCATTCAATAAGTGGAGAGGGGGGTGGTACTATTTCCCAACCCTTAAAGGTTAAGGGGATAACTAAATTTTACTCTTACTTTGTTGAATGGGCATTTTATTTGGCTACAATCCACTATTTTTAATTTTAAAAGATGTATTTTCCGATATCAAAATGATTGTTGCAGAAGTTAATTTATATAATCGAAGAATCATCTCATGGCACTATCTATTTAATAACAGACTAATGTCTAATCAAATAGCTAGTTCATTCATTTTCCTTTTCTGGCATTTTGAACTACTGTTAAATCAATTTACTCTTGTTATTTTGGATTTTGAATAAGTTGGGCAAAGTATAATATACTTTTTCTTTTAACAATTGGGGCCTAAAAGAATCAATTTAGTATTTGTTTTGCCTCCATTGAAATTTAAACATAAGATCTTATGGTTCTTAATGCACTTTATTAATCATTATCACACTTAAGGTGCCTTCTACCAGTATAAATAACAATTCACTTATTATCTTTACCTATTAAATATTTTAAAAGTGATCGAATAATAAGAATAAGAGTGAAAATTTAGTGGTAAAAAAAGAACACTCAAAGAAAGGAAAAATAGGTGGCCCGTCATTTTTGTCAATATCAATCAAGCCAACCTTCCAATATTACCTAAAACGCCCACCCCTCACAACTCTAGCACCCATGAGTTTTGCCAAAATAAATTTGGAATTTATTTTCAAAACTCATGTTTGGCCATAAATTTTGCCCACATTTTTGCAAAATTCCAAATCCCAAACCCCAAATCCCAAAATCACCCCAATTGCTGATTTTGGGCCAAAATCCCAAAACTTTGGAATTATGTACATGTTTTTCCAAATTAAAGTTGGGAAATATATTTTGAAAATGTATGTCCAAACACATTTTCATCTTCAAACCAAAATTCACCCAAATCAAATTTTTCAAAATAAATTTGGAATCTATGGCCAAACGCTAGCTTAGTTTAGCCGTTCATTTTATCTCTCTCTAAGATAAAAAGAAGAAGAAAAAGAAAGTCTTAACTATATTTATGAAGTATAAAGAAACCTAGTAAAGGAGACGAATTTCAAAATTTAAGGTAGTAGATATAATAGTATTGAATCCACTACTTTCCAGTGTTCAATAAGTTTGAATTTAATATGATTCATTTAAATTTGTTAGATTATATATAAGTCAAGTCAATATAGATGTACGGTATTTTATAATCGCTATATAATCATATTACTGGAATTCAAATCCGGTGACTATAACCTCTCGAAACACACCAATATTAGAAATATACTTGGGAGTAAAGTGTATAGTTTTTTTTTGTTATGTTTTCAGAACACATTAAACCTGATGTGATATCACCTTCGGTACATTTCAAAATATCGTTTTAATCAAATAAATTTGGTTCAAAATAAATATCTTAAAAAATAGGAAGACACTATACAATTTTCTTTTTTCTTTTGGTCATGAAAGATTATATTCTATTCATACAAATGTCATGGTTCCACAAAGCTTTTACCCCATAAGTTTTTAATACCACAAGTTACAAAAGTCTTTTTTTTCTATATTTCGTGCTGAGTCAAATTAGCTCATCTAAATTGAAACGAATGAAGTAATTTAGTCAAGCACCTTATATATCGTGAATTTTGGACAATCAACACCATTGAAGCTAAGTTCATAATACATTTTCTTGTCCCTTGGGAAAAAATTACAATACTCCTAACACATTTTCTTTACACAGGAAGAATTTGGTAAACTTTCAACAACGGCACCTACAGTGTTTTTTTTTTCCTAAAAAATAAAGAAAATTGAATCATTCGTGAACTAACTACCTGATGCCACGTGATAATTTCTCCTCTTTCGCTGTCTTTCTTGGTTATTAGCTAGTACTAGAATTACAATGTCTATGTTGCAGCCCACCAATTCCCTCCTTATGCCTTAAATACACGTACTATATATATATATATATATATATATATATATATATATATATATATATATATATATATATATATATATATATATATATATANATATATATAGTTAAGATTCATCTAACTCTCTCCCCCAACATTCTCCTACCAGCTACCATAATTCACTCACCTCTTGTCTGAGTTTACGAGGGGACTTCCCTTTTCTTGATTGGTCTCCATTTGTATACACATCAAATACTAGGTGCATTTTGATCCAATGATGCTTTGTTTTTCTTTCCTTATATTTATTTTTTGGTGTTTCGGATCTGTGTGTTTTGCTAATTGCTACTATTAAATTTTTGATTCGGGTTTGTGTCATATATATATTCTTTGTTTTTAGTGTGAAACACGCTTCAATTGTTGAATCTTGCTGTTCCTTTTCGCTTCTTTTTCGATGTTCCCGAGGTTGTCTATATATATGCTCTAATTTGTTGTGTACTGACGCTTTTAAATAATTGGATCTGCTTTTAACGGCCATTTGTTATAACTCTTTTCTTGAGAGGAGGACAGGTGTGCTCTTTTGATTTCGTTTATTATTAAAGATCTGACCTCTTTATACTGGGATGTGATTTGGATTCATATATCCTCCCACAACATATTTTAGAGGTATAGTTGATTCAGTATCCTTTACTGAACCAGTTTCATTTTCTGAAATTCTGCACCTATTGGTGTAGTTCTCTGTTTGATTGAATTCCGGAAGATTTAGCTTCATGTTGATTTGTTCTCTTTCGGAAGGCAAGATTTACAGAAACTTGTTAAGACTAATGAGTCAGCTCCGTTATTTGTATTTTTGCTCCTTGTGATCTTTTTCTGTTTTGGAATGTTGATTTCGGGTGGGTAAGGGATGGGGGCTGTTTGAATAATATATTTCATATGCCATTTTACCTGTCACTACTTGGATATACATTGCCACTCGAATGACTGTTTGATGAAATGCTTCACTGTCAGCTCAATAGTTATCTATTAATATATTGTTTTGGCCTTCTGTCTCAAAATGAAAGGGTTGTGTGTCATATGCAAGAAATTATCTGTTCATGGATGGTTGATGTTTTTGCTGATGTTGTAACTTAGCAGAGATCTCAATTGACTCGGCAAAATGGCTACTGGACAACTTTTCTCCAAGACTACACAAGCTTTGTTCTACAACTACAAGCAGCTTCCTATCCAGCGAATGCTTGACTTTGATTTCCTTTGTGGTTCGTACTATCTATTTCTCAATTGATTTTCCGGCAAATGTGCACCCAATATTGTTTTGATTTTTCAACGTGTTGATTGATGTTAATTTCTTAATTTTAAATTTTCAGGGAGGGAAACACCATCTGTTGCTGGAATTATTAATCCTGGTTCTGAGGGATTCCAGAAACTCTTCTTTGGTCAGGAGGAAATTGCAATCCCAGTACATTCAACGTGCGTCCTTCTCTTGGTTTTCTCAATCATTGGTTATATTCCCATTCTATTTTGCACTTTTTCATTTGGATCTCTAAAAGTTCTCCTTTGGCAGTCTGTCACAATGTTGTCTATGTTCTTGTTTCTCCCTTCCAGTATGCTATTTAGCTTTGGTGTGGCTTAAATACATTTAGCTCGCTGCTTCCAATTTTAGCAACTGACTTTCCCTAATGTCTGATGATATCATGTGCTAACTATTTAACTTTTTGGTTCATAATTGAGCACTTAAAATGATGCGCAAAAGACGCCAACTATATCATATTTCTGGCAGATATATTTTTTTGTCTTTACATTCCTTTGTACACTATATCATATTTCTGGCAGATATATTTTTTTGTCTTTACATTCCTTTGTACTACTGGTTTCTATTTCGTGAGTGTGGTGTCTTATCGCTTTCACTGATTGATATTCTAAAATTTTACTCATTCTTCAGCATTGAAGCTGCCTGTGCTGCACATCCTACAGCTGATGTTTTCATAAACTTTGCGTCTTTCAGAAGGTTGGTCCTAACCATTGTTCTTGTTTTGTTGTCTGTATTAAATTGGGTTTGTCTCGAAGAAAAAACTGATGCTGCAAAAGATGTGCTCTTGTTTCTCTGATCTTTATTGTCCAAATTGATTTGCAGTGCTGCTGCTTCCTCCATGTCTGCTCTTAAACAGCCGACCATCAAAGTTGTGGCTATTATAGCTGAAGGTGTTCCTGAGTCAGACGCTAAGCAGCTGATTGCTTATGCAAAGGCAAACAATAAGGTAATACTGTGTCATATCAATCAGTTTTCTGCATTTGGGTACATTATTATTTTGTCAGTGGTGGGAGTTATATTTTGAGTGATGATGTATAATCAAGTATAGGATAATAAAGTTGAGTATTTATCCATTACTTGTTTCACATTCCATTGTTGCTTGTCCTGGAGTCAATAAACTCCCCGACCGCAATTTTCATCTTTTTTGAAGAACTTTTTTGTCTAAAAAGGTAGAATGAGCTTCAACGGATCATCGCTTGGAGCATTTAGACATTACCTATCTCACTTGTCAACATTGTTTCTTCGGGGGGGGGGGTGGGGGGTNNGGGGGGGGGGGGGGGGTGTTCAATAACTACTCCCACTCTAATTTTCCCTCTTCCATTGATTTTAAAATTATATGGCGTGTAATATGGTTATCTTTCTCAGGTGGTTATTGGTCCAGCTACTGTTGGAGGGATCCAAGCTGGTGCTTTCAAGATTGGTGATACTGCTGGAACAATTGATAACATTATTCAGTGCAAACTTTACAGACCTGGATCTGTAGGCTTTGTCTCAAAATCTGTGAGTGATTTTTAGAGCCTCTTTAATATACATATCAGAAATTCTAGTTGGTTACACCTGCAGCATTTTGTCCCCACGTACTTTCTAATTTGCTATCTCCTAGAGTGCGATTAAGATAAAACAATATTTGTGAGATACTTCCGTCTATTCTCAACTACTTTCAGTAACATATCTTTACTTAACTTTAATGTTGAGCATTACTTTAACCCAACTTTCTTGTTTGAAGCCATAACCTCACTCTAATATACGAAGCAGAATAGTTTGGAGTAGCATTTCCATTTTCAATAATAATAACTTTTCTCTTGATGTACAGGGTGGTATGTCTAATGAATTATACAATACAATTGCTCGTGTGACTGATGGAATTTATGAAGGTTGGGCATTCTCAATTCTGAATCCATCAATTGGAGCATGTTTTTGTTGTTTTTACCGAGAAGTAGAATAGTGAATTTTGGTCTATGCAGGAATTGCAATTGGGGGAGATGTTTTCCCTGGCTCTACCCTTTCTGATCATGTTTTGCGCTTCAACAATATTCCACAGGTAATTGATTTGTACAGGCTATATTCTCCTTGTAATATCACCAGGTTCACCCTCTGGCCTTCAGTGACGTTGCTTTAACTTTAAGATATCCTGATTGTCTGTAGTTGTCTAAATTCTCCTTACCCTCATTATATGTGCCAATAAAGAAGCTACTTTTCATAAGCTAACATTCCAACTAAGTAGCAAAAGTATATCTGTTTCCACACACACACACACACAGTGACTTTGGTGCCTTTCTTCCTAATTTTAACCATTAGTATCTATGATTTAAGGTTGATTTTTTTCTGCTATATTGATACAACTAGAAGCTCAGTGGTGCATAAACAACTACAACATTGATGTCTTGTTGTATTTCCTGATTCTATACAAACCACTTTGCCATTTATTGGTTGTTCCTTTCTTAATGGTGTTTTTGGTATACTTAGGTTAAAATGGTGGTTGTTCTCGGGGAACTTGGTGGACGAGATGAGTATTCCTTAGTTGAAGCCTTGAAGCAGGGAAAAATTAACAAGCCTGTTGTTGCATGGGTTAGTGGAACTTGTGCTACGCTCTTCAAGTCAGAAGTACAATTTGGTCATGCGGTGAGCTTTATTTCCCATGATTGCCACATTTCCTAAAATAGGTTCCTAGTTGTTTCTCGCAAAGATCGAGAGATATTTTAATAATAAAGATTTAATATAGAAAAGGCTGGACAGGATAGTTTTACACATGAAGTCTAATTTTGCATGGATCTTTTTCAAATAGGGAGCAAAGAGTGGCGGTGAAATGGAGTCCGCACAAGCAAAGAATCAAGCACTCAGAGATGCCGGAGCTGTGGTTCCAACCTCATATGAAGCTTTTGAAGGAGCAATCAAAGATACATTTGAAAAGCTAGTGAGTTTCTTGATGTTCAGCAGAGATCACTTGTATAATACAAGTTGTATTTGTCTTCTACTCTGTTGTTAGTTCTAACAGCGCCGCGTATTTGTTTTGGTAGGTTGAAGCAGGAAAAACAACTCCTGTAAAGGAAGTTTCTCCTCCTCAAATACCTGAAGATCTTAGCACGGCAATTAAGAGTGGGAAAGTTCGGGCCCCAACTCATATTATTTCCACAATATCTGACGATAGAGGTACAGTTGGATTCAGCTGTTTTCTCTCAAATAATTAATTTGTTTTTCTGGTGGGTAAATGTGTGATGGAAATGGTGCTAATTCTGTCTACAACTTCTATTCACAGGTGAAGAGCCATGTTATGCTGGTGTACCCATGTCATCCATTGTGGAGCAGGGACTTGGTGTTGGTGATGTGATTTCCCTCTTGTGGTTCAAACGTAGCCTACCACGTTATTGTACACGTTTTATTGAGGTAAGTTTCTTATGCTTGCAACTCTATATTCTTTCAATAGGTTATAAAACTCTTATGTTTTGACCATCAGTTTCTGCCAACAGATGTTGTTCTGTTTCTAAACCTTAACATACTTTGTCGTGGTTGATTTCTTGGCAGATTTGCGTGATGTTGTGTGCTGACCATGGTCCCTGTGTCTCTGGTGCCCACAACTCCATAGTAACTGCCAGGGCTGGGAAAGATCTGGTTTCATGCCTTGTTTCCGGTATGTTACATTTTAAGGTTGCTCGTTTGTAGTTATGAGTTTATTTTTCAAAAAAAAAAATTATTTTTCAAATCAAAACTGGAATCATGGGGCTTTTAACAGGATTGCTGACTATTGGTCCGCGATTTGGTGGTGCTATTGATGATGCTGCTCGGTACTTCAAGGATGCTTATGACAAGGTGAGCCTTATAATTTATGAGCATTAAATGAGCCACTCATCAGGCTAGAAGCAGTCCTGCTGGTCTCTTTTGTGTCCAGAAGAGTAATACTAGCATTATATTTTCAGGGTCTTACACCATATGAGTTCGTGGAAAGTATGAAGAAGAAGGGCATTCGTGTGCCAGGAATTGGCCACAGGTAGCATATCTTGTAGCTTCATGAATCATCAAAGAATTGTTCCTCGACTTGTTGAAGCAAACGATGCACATGAAAATCTTTTGAACTAGGGTTATCATGCTTCTGGCTCTTGTGACTCTAAATCTATTTGATGTACCACATCTTTCTTCTTTGTGATAGGATTAAGAGAGGTGACAACAGAGATAAGAGAGTGGAACTACTGCAGCTTTATGCTAGGGAAAATTTCCCTTCTGTTAAGTACATGGAGTATGCTGTTCAGGTTGAAACTTACACACTCTCAAAGGCAAACAACCTAGTCCTCAATGTCGATGGTGCCATTGGATCCCTCTTTTTGGATCTCCTTGCCGGCAGTGGAATGTTCACCAAGCCAGAAATTGATGAAATTGTGGAGATTGGTTACCTCAATGGACTTTTCGTGCTGGCTCGTTCAATTGGGCTTATAGGGTGAGTTGCATGATGCTTAAACACCATTTTAAATTCTTTTCTATATCATATCTCAATTCTAATTCCTAAATGATTGATTATGTACTTTTTCAAATCTCAGGCACACATTTGACCAGAAGAGATTGAAGCAGCCTCTGTACCGTCACCCATGGGAAGATGTCCTCTACACCAAGTGAAGAGTCTCTTGATAACAACAGACAGAAAGCTGCCTGCGCCCAATCTATATTTTTCATTCAAACTATTTGGTTAGCCATTTGTTGTGTGAGTGATTCAACTAGTACTCCTAAGAGCTCTGGTGAGCATTTCATTTTTTAAGTTCTTAGGGAGATGCCAAAAGACAACTCTCAGTTATCATTCGTGATCAATTCTTAGTTCCACACAAGTGTTTTCTTTTTTCCTCTATCATGTCATAAATGAAATAACACAATCCATTTTTGTACCTGATTTCAAGTCTTTACAAGGAGATTCTTCATTGTTACTGTTTGCATAAAACTGTATTTACCTGAAGGGCTGAATTCACAGTGTGGCAAGTGGCAACCATAGACTGACTGATTAAAGATTTGTAGAGATTTTGGCAGTCGGTATTAGCACGGATGGATAACCTGGAAAATGGACAGTAACAAGCTTAATTTACACAGGAAGGAGTATACTTAGTTTGTGATAACTGACGGATAAAACTTAAGTTAAATGGCGGAAAGAAGCAAGCATAGTCTGTCTAGAGAAGATTTTCCACAGTTTTTAGAAGCTAAAGAGGAGATGAAACTCAATTCAAGTCGGTGCTTAAAATGCCAAGGTAAAGGATTGCACGTTTTAACTATCTAAAACATCTTGGAACATACGTCGGTCTCATTATCTTTGGCTCGGACCAAGTGTATGTGTTTACCCTAAAAATTGGATAACAATTAAACTTATAATGTGATTTTAAGGATACGTGATCTCACCTAATACCAATTGATAAATCCCAGATTGGCATAAATAACCGCCCTTGATTTGATTTGTTCCGGAATTTTCGCCGTGATCTTCGACCGGTTACGGATACCTCGCCTTTCCTTTATTGCGCTTCGTTCGAAGTCATACTTGGTCTTGATCGCTGTTGGCCTCGACCTCGACGAGCACCTTGATTCTCGAGCCTGATACCTGATTCGTGTCCTGGCCTGATCATAATGAGGCGGACCCTCGACGTGATTTCCTGGTCTCGATTAAATGGAAAAATCGGACAAGCCCTATTTTAACCGTGCACATATAGTCCCCTCGTTTCTTGGAGTGTAATGAGAAGAAACGAACTAAGCCTTCGATTTTATACCTCGACCAGTTATGACGTCACCCTCGTGACGTAAGCGACGGAAGCGACTGAAGCGTCGCGTCGGTACAATTCCCAAAATCATTAATGAGCGTCAGTTGATGGTCGGCCACTAGTGTCTTCAAACCGTCATAGCAAACATTATAAATAGATCTTCTTTATAATTTTCTCAAACTTTACTTTCGAAGCTTCTCTTAATCTTCAAAACACACTATTTCCTTCAAGTTTTTCAATTCTGCAAGTTCTTCGAATCCCGTTGTCAACTTTTTCTCAAAACAACAAATCTCATCTTCTTCTTTCTCTCAATACATATAAAATGGCAAAAACATCAAAAAAACGTTCCTCAAAAGGAGAAAGCTTCTTCATCGCGGCCGGCCAGCGATAAAACGCCGATGGAGCCACGCATCGAGGAGTATATTCTCAGGTGGTGAGAAACCCTTGTCGGTCCTTGGCCGATTTGAGCCAACGTCGAGATATATATGCTCTATAACTGAGGGCGACCTTAAGCAGGTGAAGAAAGATTGTCATTGGGAAGGCAAAGAGGTGGTGATTCCGACCCCGAAGAGGACATCACTACTTACGTGAAAGGGTTCTTAAGTGTTCACACTTACCCTTTTACGCTGGGCCCCGTCGATCCTGTTATCCTCGACTTCTGCCGCCAATACCAAATAACCCTAGGCCAGATCCATCCTTCTTTCTGGCGCATTGTCATTTTGCTTCGATTCTTCGTGAGCAAAGTCGAAGGGATGCCTTTTACCCTCGACCATCTCATTAGACTGTACAGCCCCCGTCTCTATCAAGGCGGATTAATAAGGCTTCAGCGTCAGGCTACTAAGGTGCTGTTCTCGAGCATAGACGAGGATAAGGATCGAGGATGGATGGGCCGGTTTGTCCGAGTGAGGACTTCCGACATAATCCCGGCCAAGAAGATGCCATTCCCCGAAGAATGGAAGATGAAGCGTGAGTACAAATCCACCCATAGCTTCTGTTTATTGTTTTGTTTTCTCTTGCCTTTTCTTCTTGACATCATTTCCTATGATGCACCGGTTTCTTGGGTGCCTGGTGCAATCCTGAACCTTGAGGACTGGGTTCGGAAACTGGCCTCGACCTCTTCGTATGTTGAGCGCTCATGGCGCGATTTGGCAAAGGGCCGATGGGAGGCTAAAAATCACAAGAAGCTTCTTTACTCGCGTTTGATGCTCTTCTCTGAAATGTTTCTTTTTTAATTCTACTTGATTCCCTTTCATACAGGTCTTGGAGACAATGCTGTCATGAGGCCCCCGTATGGGGAGAAGGAGGAGGCCCCGAAGCCGGCTAAGGATAAGAAAAGGAAAAGGGTCTCGCCCTCCGATACTCCAAAGCCCAAGAAGAGCAAGGCTCGCAGGTCGAAGAAAGATACCGCCGTCCTGCCTGCGGATGTAGTTCAGCGACTACGAGATCAAGAAGAGGAGAATGAAGATGTTGCCTTCGAGCTGGTGGCTCGAAAGAAGATCGGCGAGGTCCTAAAGGCTGTTGAGCCGGTGTCAAAATTTGATCACGCCCAACTATGCCTTATAAAGAGGACTAAACGGTCGCTGCAAATATAATCCGGTTTACAAGTCCGGAGTCGAATCCTCAGGGAACTAACCTATCTATTACGACTCTTAGTCATGTTAGTACAAGTTCAAACAATTTCCAGATGCAAGATTTTTATCAATAAACAGTGAGATTTGTTTAACTAATGTAAAAGGATATTAAAACTAACAGTATTCCAAATTAAAGATAATTCAATGATAAAAAGATCTAGGGTATTGATTTTTCCAATTGCTAGCTTAATTCTTAACTTCTTTGCTATAATCTCGCCGTAATATTCTATGAGGATTGTGAGCTATGGGTTACCGCAACTATCTCTCGATCAACTACGATAATTTACTAGAGCATTCTCTCGAACTACTCTAGCTGATAATTTATGCAGCTCTGAATTATCCCACCAAAGTTTCGTTATCTCTAACCCCACATTTAAATTCAAGTAATGAATCTCTTCAATTACCCAAAAGTGGTGTTGTTCAACAACAATCTAACCTAGTATTCTTTCTCAAGCAACACAAGGCAATTAGACATGATTAATCGAGGGCCCATTCAATTAATCACCATACAAAACATAGTTGAACAATCATATAATAAACAAGGCTCGATTATAACAAAATTGAGTCAAAACTTCATCTAACAATTGGTTCCATCAACCCTAGATTAAATGTTTAGCTACTTATGGGAAAAGAAGATAAAAACATAAAATAATTCATAGTTCACAAAATAATGATAACAAGAAGAATAATGAAAAGCTCTAATGGTGTCTTGATCTTCTCACACTTGTTCTTGCCTCCAATTGAGTCTAAAAACAAGCTTAACCTTGACCTGGGCGAGTTTGTTGTGTTTATATAGGGTTAGGATAAGTTTCCCACGTTTTACACTTTAGCCCTTAAACTTCTTGGCTTCCTCCAGATCGACCGCGGTCGCGGGACAACCGCGGCGCGACCGCGGTGATTTACGACCATTCTGTTTTTCGCTTTCTTTTACAGCGTTCCAGCCGCGGTCCGACCGCGGTCGCGGTGGACTATTGCCTAGTTTTTCTTCGCCTTTTCTTGCTCATTTTCATCCGGGCTCTTCTCTATTGGCCTTGTATCTTCATTTTTGACCCCAAAACACTCTATATTCTCCTCCTAACTCGGAGTAGCTCCTGCAAAGCATAAAAACCTCAATTAGAGCATTTTGTTATCATTTAGCACTTAAAACATCAATGAGATATGGTTAATTTAGAGCATAAATAGCATCTGCATCGCATAATATAGGCTACTATCAACACCCCACACTTAAATCGTTGCTAGTCCTCTAGCAACAAAACCACACTCTATAGGCCTAATCATCTCTAGGTCACTTCCCTACTCCTTATACCAAGGACAATTCACATAGATAGACCACCTTAGCGTAACCTCCTAACCTCAAGAGTGGACTCCCTCTCTAGCCACGTAGTGTCCTTAACCGGCTTTCATACTCTCAGTCAGAGGTCCAGACTTACCTTTTCTTCATGAATCACGTGCCTACTCACCACAAAAAGACTTGTGTTATGTCATTATAATTCACACACTGAGGAATTCAAACACGTAAAATTTCACTCACCCTTAGAAATAAATTCTTATGCCACAAATAATGCACCATAGGTTTGCCCATAGTGTAATACTCGACTAATCGAGCCCACTTGGTCTAAAATCAAGTAGGACTTTATTTGGTTGTAATGTTGGCTGCGGGACAGGTAGGATACATATGGGTATAGTGACTACACCTCCCTAAGCACTTTAATACACTTTCCACTTTTAAGCCCATACCTTTATCAAACCTTTATTCCACCTTTACATCATTGAGTTAAACCCCTTACTTCTTTAAGCACACTTTCTCTTTTGAAGACCACCACCATTTTGAGACTTATTCTTGTAAAAATTATTCAGCTCAGTCTCTTCTTTCTCTCTCTCTCTCTCTCTCTTTTTTTTAAGATTCTGGCGGCTTCTAATATTGTTTATCACACAGTGCACCCCTTTTGTTTTTACGTCTTCTTGGTTCCACTCGAAAGCCCAACCAACCACCCCACACTTTAACTTTTCCATATTCATTACAATTCAAGTGCTTCTAAGAGGTGATAGGGTTCAAAGAGATTGGTACTTCAAAACTTGGGTAAGGCTTGTAATGTGGGGTTGCCAAGAAAACAGGATTACAGGCTCAAAGGGGTTAACTAGGATATATACACTCCAGTGGGTAAAAACATATATAGATAGGTTCAACAAGGAAACACCTATATCATTTCCCAGACTAATTAAGACTAGCATTTCACTTCGTACACACACAGGGCAAGTTCTAGGCATTGAGTGTTAGCATAGAGTACACAAAGCCTCACTCACACATGGCACATGACTCAATTCAGTTAGGACCATCCGACACTCTGCTCAAAGTGCTTAAGCCAACTCAAGAACACACAATTTAAGGCTTTATTGCTAGAGTCAACTAATGAGCCTAAGTGTCACACTAAAGCAATCTCTATTCAAGGTACCATGGAGTCAAGGGATCATATTTCTAATCCTTCCTTGCCCAAAAATTCCTAAACTACAAAAGAAAAGAAAAAACTAACTACACCCGGTTCAAATGGAAAC